GAGTGGACAGAACATAATAAAGAATAATAAATACCCACTGTGAACTATTTATCTTTTATGATCAGATTTTAATGATTATAAAAGAGCCGAACATGTTCGGCAGAACATCTGTTGTCCCATCTTCACTCCACAAAAGTCACCCAATTATCGACAGCCCCTAACACACCAATATCCATCTCTCACTTTCCTGAACTAAAATAAAAATTAATTTAGTCCCATGCACATGTACGTATGTGCATATAAAGTTTCTTTCTTGCACAGATATGAAGGCACAGTAAAAGCGTGTGTGCAGACAGAGCTGCAGATCTTGTAAAAATGATGATAATTACATATAATTGATTCCATTTGGTGGTATAGTTATGACGTATGATAGAGAGCATGGTTTTTGCCAAGGGTCATATTCATTAGTAGACATTAGCGTGAGTCTGTTGCATGTTTGCGATAACCTAATACGCCTTGATAAGAAACCACCAACATTACAGCTGTGCTATTTAATGTTTCAAATTCTAACGAGGGTTAATTGCTTAATTAATGACTTAATTGCTTAAGTCAATTAAGCAACTGCGTAAAAATAGAAAAGCCATAGCTGACCTCTGTGAATCAGATCTTAGAGATCTGGCAACTGCGGTTCATTGCACCGTCACAGATCCATGTCATCATAATGCCACATGTTTTTAATTTGCATTTGTTGCCGTGCTGAAATGACCACATTTACCTGCATACAGGGTTCTTCATTCCCTCTTATGCTTTACATCATGTCTTTGTTACCCTTGATGCATCTGTCCTCCGTCTCATATCACTCTTCTGTTTTTCACTCTCCACCTTTCTTTCTGCAGTCTCTCTGCCTGTGCACGCCTGTAAGTGCGTTCTGATCAGTCGTGTGTTGTCAGCAGCCCTCGGCGTCCTGTATGTAGCACAGTTGACTCAGACCAAGGCCTCACTGCCAGTAACACAAAAAGCAGGCACAGTAAGTCACATCACAGCTCATCACCGCAGTGATTATGACCAAGACGTTTTTAAGTATCATTCCTTTTAACAAATGATAAATAATTTGATTGCAATAGTTGTGGCACATTACTTGCAGTTGGTCCTTCATAGTGCTCACGTGCTTATCTGGTAATTAATAACAATAACAACAAATTTATGGTACAGTATTTATTTATTTATGGTTTATTTGACATGGACAGTGCACCTTAATAAACATAAAATGTAAATGTGCCAAAATTAGCCAAAATATAAGTGACAAGCAGTTTGAACCAATATTGCATCTAAAGGAATCCCACTGTAATTTTGTAAATTTTATTAAAGAATGTATGTATCCTAAAGAAATGTATGTATTGTTATAGTTGCAGGAATGGATTTTGAGCTGATTTTCAATCAAGAGGCTATTTCAATAATTTGAAATAGTTTAATGTCCAGTATTAATATACATTACTGCAGTGAAAAAAAAACAAATGGTGCTGCAAGGTCTTGTGTGTCAATATTTAACCTCAGCTTCTCCCTTAAAATAGCTGGAGTATTATTCATGAAAATGAGGAGAATGTAGTAAAGTGAATTTACATAAAGAAAGCGAGAGAAGAATGAACAGATTGTTGCCTCGTAACAAGATTCAGTTACTCTGTAGTCAGGAGTCATCACAGTCAACTCTTAAGTGATTCCATTGTGGTTGCACCTTCAGTTAAAGGTTTCAGTAATTATTATAATAGCACCTGAGAGTGATGCTGTGAGCTGATGCCTCAGAATCCACTTTAGATTCATCATGAAGAATGTGATTCGACAGCATCAGTCATGTAAACAAATGCACAGTCTATAAAAATATATGGAAATCTTACAGCATCGGAAAGTTTGTAAACATATGTAAAAGCACTAAAATATGCATTTATGCAATTGAAATGTGATCAAATTATCAGGAAAAGATTATATGCAACCCCGATCTCAATTCTCCAAATGCTGCGTAGAAGACCGAGGTAAAAAAAGTGCCCTATTTGACAGGGGCAGTACCCCCGAGGGTGCAGTAATTCTAAGGCGATATTCGCATATTTTCTTCATGGTTCTGTATAATCTCAAAGTTCATCTTGTCTGTAAAATGTTTTACGTATTTTTCGATGAACAGTGAGATGCAGGAGTGGCATTGATTGAGATCAGCATTATTGGAATTCTAGATCTGTTCAAGTTATGACATGTGTAATTGGAGATCAGAGGGGAACAAGCCAAGCGAAGGCGCGCTGCCCTGCGGAGGACAGAGCCCCGGATGGGAGAAGAGGCTCCCAGCACTAAGCTGGAAGCGGCACCCTGTCTTTTGATTCGTTTTTATGTACCAGATTGTTTAACTGCTAACTGGATAACGTTTTTCCCGGCTGCATTCTCTGCAAGTCTGTGTTAGCACTGTAATGCTGAAAGTTTGCCTTGCACTGTACTTTCTACAGGGCACAGCTAGATTCAGGCCTGCCGCCTTCCTTGCTTCCACACATCCATTTGTTACTGTTAATTACTATTCCACAGTTGGATTTTGGCTCTGGGTGCAAAAGATATAACTGACAGGTACAAAGAAGGAATGATACAAGAAAAAATAAATCGAGGAAGACAGGTGATGCTAGACAAAGGCAGTATCAGGTAGTGATGGAGAGGTTAAGAAAAGAGGAACTGAAGCTTGTTTCTTGTGAACGAGAGGGAGCTGTAAGCTGCGAGTAAGGGGCCTGCTCTGGGACTCACTGCTTTCTATTAATGGCTGTATTACAGTAGTGGGAGGGGGCAGAGGGAGCACCCAGTCGGCTAATCCGTCGCCTGCCATTCCCTAATGCCGTGCAAAACTGTTTATTAGAAGCAGACGCATTTGTCTCTCATGAGCGGGTGGGGGAGCAGGCGCTGCTACTCAGAGTTGTTAAGATTTATTAGCATTAAATATATTTGCACGCTACGCTGTGCTCCGAGTCACCATTAAGTTCGGGTTCAACTGGAATGATGTGCAGGAAGCACAAGAGAATGTCCTACGCAGCTGAGTGGGCCACACACCCAAAGTGGTTTCTTGACTATTGAGCAATCCCACCATTAACCTGCGGGGGCAGCACTGCGCATATCATACTAATGATTCGGCTGCAAATACCTATCAAATGCATGGCTATTCAGACCATTTCTACAGGCTCTATTCCCGTTTATTCCTATTTAGATTTAGATTTTAGCATTACACTGTTTCAGTCACCCATGTTCCCATTGAAGACAATCAGGAACCTCCTGAGCGCAAGGACCTTTCCTCCAAAAGACTCACTCCATCGCCCCTCATTTGTGGCCTTCAGTTGCCCATGGGATCCCCCCATTCCAGTAAAGTGTACAAAGTGGTAAAGTTCTAAAGGATGTGGCTCAGCACAGTCAAGGGAGGGATTTGTAGCAGAGCGAGCGTTCTGTTTATGCTGGAAAGGCGTATTTAATGCCAGCTATTAATTTTGTATATATATCATTGTGATCATGTGCCCCTATTGCACAAGAATGGTCTGCTAGCTTAGTACTGTGCTTTCAGTTTAACTGTATCTGAGTGACAGCTTGTATTCTCTTTTGCGTCTGTGTCAGTATCCCTAGATCCGTCATTAATGTTTGTTGCCATCAGTTAAATCTGCAGCTTGATGCCTCTTTAAATTCTTCATTTCCAAGAATTTGACATAATGGTTTCTTTTTCTTGTGCTGCTAATGTGTTAATTAATATCAGCAAGGCTGAAAGCACTGTGCTTTTATTTGGATTGTTTATAGCTGCTGCGTTTGTCTCCTTTATGTTGGAAATAAAAGCCAGTATAAAGCCAATACCCTCAGTGTTTGCTGGGTACTTGTGGCTGAGAAGCTTCATCTGGAAGTGTACCCCTTTGGTCCTTGACCCAGCACACTTGAGTCACTTGTTCCACTCCCCTTCTCGTCCACCTTTGGAGAAATGTGGCTCCTCTTTCTTATTCTTACTGGTATAAGTTAAGTTTTGAGTGCTTTTGTTTTTTCCACATGCCCTTTCTTTTTGTGTGGGATCTATCCTGTGAGCTGTTCATGCTTTTTCCCAAAGAATGTTAGGTGGGATGAGGTGCCACTAGGTGACCTTTTCCCCTTGGAGTGCTGTGCGCAGCTTCAGATGTTGTGCCTGCAGTTGGAAGGTCATTGGTTCGAATCCCTGGGTGGGCCCGATGACTTCACTGTTTAGCCCCTGAGCAGCACTTTTAACCTTTATTTGATCCAGGGATTGGTTGACCCTGTTTTCTCAAAAAAAACGATGTTTCTTTGGACAAAAGCATGTGTTAGACAAATGCAGCTTACTGATCATGCTGTGTCACAGATACTGCCTGCGGGAGATATTTGGCTGAAAAGCATAAACCCTTTAATTAAGTTTTTTTCTACCTATGGACATACTCTACGACATCTCATCCTATTCACTTGAGTGTATGATTGAGGAGTGACTGAGCTGGAAGGGGGTGGGGGTGGGGGGTTGCACCTTCTGTCTGAAGCCCCCCCCTTTCCGCTCCCCTCCCAGCCCCCGACCTGTTTACATTCCCTGTTCATGCTGGCGTAGATATATGATTTCCAGCTAAGGCGTTCTGTTTGTTGATTAGCGAGATAAGTGACCGCCTGCTCTGGGTCAGGCCGGCTCCTCAGCACAATCGCTTTTGATTTCTACGCTGTGCCACTGTGTTTGGAGTGTGTGTTGTGTCTTCATCATATCTGGGAGTTTGGATTGTGTAAAGAAAAAAATGTAGGTTCTATGGACTGACTGGCAGCAGCTGTATTGAGGAGACCTCATGGAAGGGCTCCTGTGTCCCTGCACATTGTGCTTAAGTCCTTGTTGTCACCCTTCTGTGTCCTGTGTTCTTTCAATTGCTTCAATAACAGATTCATGAAACCGAAACCATACATTCACAAACATCTCCCAGAATTCATTTGACCTGTATGTTTGTTATTGTACTGCAGTTCACTTTGCCTTCACGAGAATCCCATAATCTTCATCTCCCACTACTTTTGCATCCCTGTCACAGGTGCATACCCTCTGCTGGGAGCTCCCCCTGGTGGTTGGAGGGGGATGGAGCGGGGTAGCGAGAGCCCCCGGCTACGGGAGAGTCCTGAGAGGCGCGGTGGTAGCCCAGACCTCAGCGGGCCCCCACCTGGCAAGATGGGTCGACTGGAGCTCAACGGAAGTCCCCCAGGGCCACGGAGTCGCCACAATGGAGCCGCGCTAAAGTCCTTGGGAGGTATAATCCCACATATTTATGGTGAAAGTCAGAACAAGACAGAAGAAAATATTAAAAAAAAACATCTGTTTTTTTATAGTGTGCCTCAGTTCAATGCATTAAAGTATAACTGAGGTACTGCTATATTTTACAATACAGCAAATAATAGTACACTTTCATAAATACAGTGGTACCTCAGAACTCGAATTTAATCCATTCAGAACTCCGGATCAAATCCTAAAAAGTTCGAGTTGTGATCGAATTTTCCCCATAAGAGATAATGGAAAACCAATTAATTGGTTCCCGGCCCCAAAAAAATACACCTAAATATGTTTATGAACAGGATAAAACAAGAAGAGCATATACTGTACTAAACACATCTAAGCACATTTATCAAAACAGTAATTTGTAAAGTAAGAAAATAAACGTATCCAAACAATGTGTCCTGCCCCGATCGTCCGCTCCTTCCGTGTGCCACGCCCCCTCGTTAACCCCGTGTGGAATCCCCGTGTGATCAGCTGTTTCTGGTTGTTGTCATTAGTCCTCTGTATTTCGTCCGCGTTTCAGTTTGTTTCCCCAGTCCGGTCATTCTATTGTCCGTCTGCGGTTTCCCTGCCTTACCTGTAATTAAACCCCGTATTCCCCGATACCCTGACGTCTGCGCCTTTGTCCCCGTTCCGTCGCCGCTTGTCACGACAATATTATTATAATTAAATGTATTAATAGTTTTATTATTAATATTAAAATAATGAATAAGAAATCTTTATTTTAAAATGTATTTTATTATATAATAACAATTACTGTTACTGTCTATCTGTCATGACTTGCTCGTACGATCCTCGTGTGTGCCACGCCCCCTCATTACCTACGTGTGCTATCCCGATTGTGTGCACCTGTTTCCTGTGAATCCTGGCTTTTCTTGTGTATTTAGTCCGCGTCTGTGTCAGTATCCCTAGATCCGGCATTAATGTTTGTTGCCATCAGTCCTGTGTCGCCTAATAAACCCCGTTTGCCCGTCTTACCGGCTTGACTCGCCTGCTTCCCCACTCACCCGCCAGAAGATACAACACTATCATTGTCTGAATGTATTTTTACTGTCTAAATATATGTATTCAGTTAGTGTAAACATGCAGGATGCTATCACAGCGGAGACTGAAGTTTTACCCTTTGTTTCCCCTGAGAGACGTGCCGCGTGACTAATTTCTCGGCGTGTACAAGTTATCTTAGGTCGTTCACGGTTTGACTTCTAATATTCAGATCGAGTTCTAGGTAACATTTTTTTCGAACTGGTTGTTTCGACTTTTAAGAAATTCGAGTTCTAATGAGTTCGAGAACTGAGGTACCACTGTACTACAAATAATGTGTACTATCCATTATGTATGTTGGTATTTTATTTTGCATGCTGTTGGTCATGTGTTAGACATGGGACTAAGGGAAAGGTTGATGTGACCAATTGGCCAGTTATTTGGCCACATATCTACACATCATCAGATGATCAATCACTGATTGTCTCCATGCCTGCCATCAATCGCTGTATAGATACAGCAATGGCACAGTGCAGTGAATGAACTCTCAGAAAGATAAACCATCGCTGCTTTTCTTAGCATAGTCGAAAAACTTAACAAACTGAAGAATTTATTAGCTCTGTTTCATCATGGGGTTACCTCTGGGTTATCTGGTTTGCCCCCCCAAAAAATCCTAAGTTGAATTGGAGTTGGATATTTCCTGCCTTGCATCTGATGCTTCAGGGATAGGCTGTGGATCCCCCCAAACCTGCACAGGACAAGTGGGTGTGGAAAACATGAATGAATGAATGAATGAATATGTGCATTTGTGTAGTCAATGAGTGTGTGTATATTTGTGTGTAAATTTAGTTTGCATGGTGGGCTCACAAATGACAGTGTGGTAATAGTGCAGTGTTTCTCAATCCTGTCCTCAGGGACCTCCAGACGGTTCACTACCAGTTCACCGCCAGTTCACTCCCAACTCCCTGCCAGACAGTCCACAATTTTTCAAATGTGTGGGCTGTCTGGGGGTCTCCTAGGACCAGTTTGAGCAGCACTAAAGTAGTACACAGTGTGATAGTACTTCAGGACACCAAGGAGCATTCTGTTCATGTGTAGATGCTTCACGTGTCACCCCAATGCCACAGCCCATCTGCTGAGTATTTAAAGAAGGGAGTATGGGGAGAGGAAAGTGAGCATGAGAAAGAGCTCCCTCTGTATGACTGTGCTTCAGCATGAGGGAGAGCTCCTTTGGTGTGACTGTGCTTCAGCATGAGGGAGAGCTCCCTCTGTGTGACTGTGCTTCAGCATGAGGGAGAGCTCCTTTGGTGTGACTGTGCTTCAGCATGAGGGAGAGCTCCCTGTTTGTGACTGTGCTTCAGCATGAGGGAGAGCTCCTTTGGTGTGGCTCTGCTTCAGTATGAGGGAGAGCTCCCTCTGTGTGACTGTGCTTCAGTATGAGGGAGAGCTCCCTCTGTGTGACTGTGCTTCAGTATGAGGGAGAGCTCCCTCTGTGTGACTGTGCTTCAGTATGAGGGAGCGCTCCCTTTGTGTGACAGTGCTTCAGTATGAGAGAGAGCTACCTCTGTGTGAAGGTGTTTCAGCATGAAGGAGAGCTCCCTCTGTGTGACTTTGCTTCAGCATGAGGGAGAGCTACCTCTGTGTGAAGGTGCTTCAGCATGAGGGAGAGCTACCTCTGTGTGAAGGTGCTTCAGCATGAGGGAAAGCTCCCACTGTGACTTTGCTTCAGCATGAAGGAGAGCTCCCTTTGTGTGACTCTGCTTCAGCATGAGGGAGAGCTCCCTTTGTGTGACTGTGCTTCAGCATGAGGGAGAGCTCCCAGTGACTATTCAAAGCCAAATATCAGCAGTGGGGTGTGAGCCATATGCACATTATTCACTGAGGTGCGCAAATGCATGGATTCACACTGCTCTCAGTTGCTCGGTCTCATTCCCATCAGCTAATGCATGCACACACACTAATACAGACATGTACGCACAGCCACACACATGGACACACCCCCAAAGTCATACATAAACACAGACACCCTTCTTTTCACATGCACACAAACAAAAATACAAACACGCCAAACTGCGTGAGCTCAGCCATGCTGCCTGAGCCTCATGTTGAAGACCAGGGGTACGTGTTAAACTCTGGGATTTGATTTATTTTAGAGGCTGTCAAACATTTTATTGATTCCCCCAGTGCTACTACTCCTTGTGGAATACCCGAATGGAGCGTGGAGTATGGCTTTGGTTTTGGAACCAGAGCGTTTTGACGTCATGCACGATAGCTGTAAAGACCTCAGTTTCTTCAGCAATTTAGTGCTCTCCCTTGTGCCTCTCCACTGCGTGTGGCTGGCCCAGGGTTTCTGCTGTAGCACTGATAGTGCTTGGAGTTCCACTGCTCCTAGACTAATATGGAGCCTAAATCAAAGAGAGAGGACACTAGGGCTAAACCAGGAAGGAAACAATCAAGGAAAGCCGAATAGAGGGCGGTGAGATCTGATTATAGCAGGGAGATCAGCCTGAGATGACCAGCATGAAGGTCTTCATTCAAGTTTGCACCCAAGCTACTTGCAAAGCAAAGGGGACTGAGGATTTGATATAGCAGAGGAGTTTAAAGGGGACTGAAGGGGATGGACAGTGCATGAAAAAAGGTGGATAAAAAAGAGGCATAAGAGAGGCGATGAAAGGAAGTATTAAAGTGGGCACAGGGGTGTGAGAGGAATGCAGTGGGATCGTACAGAGCGGAAGATACAATCTGAGCAAAGGGGAGCAGGGAGAGGTGTGAGAAAGAGAGAAGAGGGGTCACTGCCCAGTGCTGCTCCGCGTTGACAGTTATATTTCTCAGTTGGGGGAAATTCACTTACTTGAATTGGCACAAGCTTCCAGTCTGTAATTCACTCCATAAGAGCTCTCCGAACTGGGAGCAGGCATGATTAATGGGTAGGAAATAGGAATATAGGAATTGACTGATTAAAACAAGGGACAGCTGAGTGGTGGGAGGGGCTCTCTGTTTCCAGGCCGCCATGTTATTACTACCAGGGCTTTGGCTTTACGTATTTCTCTCCGCGTTCATTTGGCAAACTAATTAATTATGTGTCGACAGTAAGTCCAAGAACAAAGTCCCATTCTTATTGTAAATGAGGTTTTTTGAAGGGAGGAGAGTGCAAGGGGACACCTTATATAGGATGGGGGCAAAACGGGGGGTGCCACTGTTAGGGGATCCCCCCCCAGAAGCCCGTAGGAGAGAGGAGACATGTTAAGTGTTTTTGGAGAAGGAAGGAGCAGGCTGGAGTGCGGAGGCAGAGCGTGGGTGGTTTGGCTTTGGCTCCTCCCCTCTCCAGGTCGCTGCCCTTTACTGCTGCACTTTATTCTCCTGCAAAATCACAACCATAGCAGCAGAATTTGCAACATCACAGATTAAGTTCTGCATGCACACTTGTGCATTTAGAAGCCGAAAGGCCAATCTCTTTTGTGGATGAAATCAGGCATGCAGAATGCATTTTCTTGCAAATAAACAAGTGTGTTGCAACATTTTGGTCTGGTGGAACAATGACTAAAATGTACATGTCAATAAACATTCAGCTGGAAAAAAGCAGTCTTTATAATTGCTTCATACTGTATGCATGACTAATAGATATCACTGTGTTAAGGCAATTTTCATAGTCAGACCTCCATATAGAGTTGGTGAAATTATATTAATGAGCCTGTTAATTTTGAGGTCTAGCACAGCTGGAATGGGTTCAGACTGGGAACGGCTGGGCGATGTATCCATCAGCAATTCATAGCTTAACTTTATTTACATCTTTTACCTGAAATCTAGAATCTGCTGGTAGGTTTATGCCAGTCCCATCACTGTCATGGATGTAAAAACAATGATATATGTGCTTAATCATAATCTATCCATAATCCATAATCTACTTTCCATAACCAAATATTCATTAGAGGCTTGCGGTGTAAAGATATGAATAATTACGCATATGTAGGAATGGGATGCAGTCGGCACCCATTTTGGGAGGGGGGCTGATCGGCTTTTCCCTCACTGATTAAGTCCACCTGCTCCTGGTAGCAAAATCGTTGACTTCTTCGTGGGCCGGATTGGGAAACACGGTTTTAGATAGAAGAGTTATGTGCATGATGGTCTGATCCCAAACTCTCACTGTCTATCTGCGGAAAGGGAAATCTTATTAAATGTCCTCCTCACCTAGATAGTCGCCATATTCTGCAGTTATGTGCGTCCACCTCAATCCTAAACCCTTTGGCCAGAGCTTAGCAGTCCTCTGTGCGAATACCAGTTCTCCATGTGAAAACACTGGTTTAAGACATCACTATTTAACAGATTAGCGGAGAGATTTTCCTGCATGATAACTGTAAAGAACTGGATTAAATTAAGTTTTTCTATAGTATTCAGGTGATTTGCACTGTTGTGATGTTCGTGCTTTTCAGTGTGACGTGTATACTTCTGTTCCTTTATAATATACAGTGTTGGTAATATTGGTATGATGGCTGTTGATATGGACTGTAACCAGAAAGGTTACCAGGTCAAGACCAGTTGTACACATTAGTAGGTGCTTAACCAGCATTTTTCCAGTTATACACTATAAGGACAAAAGCATTGGGACACACATCTTAATCTCTGAATTTGGGTGTTTCATTCAGACCCATTGCCAAAGGTGTATAAAATCAAGCACCTAGCCATGCAGTCAGGTTTACAAACATTTGTGAAAGAATGGATCGTTCTGAAGAGCTCAGTGAATTCAACCTTTGCAATAAGTCAGTTCATGAAATTTCTTCCCTGCTAGATATTCCACTGTTAACTGTAAGTGGTATAATTGCAAAGTGGAAGAACAACAGGAACTCAGTCACAAAGTGTCAGACCACGTAAAGTAACAGAGCAGGGTCGCAGAGTGCTAACAGGCATAGTGCGTAAAAGTTGCCAACACTCTGCTGGCTCAATAACTGCAAAGTTCCAGACTTCCTCTGGCATTAACCCCAGAACAAAACCTACGCTGGGAGCTTCATGGAATGGGCTTCCATGGCCGAGCAGCTGCATGCAAGCCTCACATCACCAAGCGCAAAGCCGAGCATCAGATAGAGTGGTATAAAGCACGCCACACTGGAATCTGAAGTGGTGGAAATGTATTCTGTGCAGTGATGAATCCTGCTTCTGTCTGTTGGACGAGTCTGGGTTTGGCCAGGAGAACATTACCTGCCTGACTGCATTTTGCCAACTGTAAAGTTTGGTGGGGGAGGGATAATGGTATGGGGTTGTTTTTCAGTGGTTGGTCTAGGCCCCTTAGTTCCAGTGAAGGGAACTCTTAATGCTTCAGCCTACTAAGACACTTTGGACAATTCTATACTTCCAACCTTGTGGAAACAGTGTGAGGAAGGTCCTTTTCTGTTCCAGCATGACTGTGCCCTAGTGCACAAAGCAAGGTCCATAAAGACATGGTTGGGTAAGTTTGGTGCAGAAGAACTTGACTGGCCCACACAGAGCCCTGACCTCAACCCCATCAAATAACTTTGGGATGAACTAAAATGGAGATTGTGAGTCAGCCTTTCATGTCCAACATCAGTGTCTGACCTCACAAGTGCTCTTCTGAATGAATGGATAAAAATTCCCACAGATACTTCAAAATCTTGTGGAAATCCTTCCCAGAAGAGTGGCAGTTGTTATATCTGCAAAGGGGGGACCAACTCCATATTGATATCTATGGATTTAGAATGGGATGTCATAAAAGTTCCTGTAGGTGTAATGGCCAGGTGTCCCAATACTTCTGTCCATATATTGTATACAGTATGTAGCTGACCACTCTGCTGACTATGGGATTTCAACCTGCAACCTTCGGCGTCTCAAGCCACAGAGGTGTTTAATGCATTTTTTTTGCTCAGTGCATAATTCCATATGTGTTATTTTGAAGTTTTAATGTCTATTATAAATTGTAGAGAACAGTACAAATGAACCTTTCTATGGTTGATGTGTCCAAAGGTTTGACTGACACTGTATATATAAAATTAACAGCAACAGCATGATCAGATTCTCTTGCACTTTTTGAAGCAGGTTGTGCCAACAGATACAAAGCAGTTTTCATGTTTCCCCGGCGTCATCATGGAGTTTCCTCTTGGTTCCCCCCCCCTCCCCAAGCTGCCCATAGGCGTGAATGACTCCCTTGGCCCATGACCCTGCATTGGATGAGCGGGTATAGAAAATGAATAGATGGATATGAGTGAGCAAATTGGGGCTCAGTAGGTTGTAGGCTCAAATCCTGTAGTTGGCAGAGTGATCCTACCATTGGGCCCTTGAAAAAGGCCCTTAACCCCAAATGCTCCAGGGACTGGCTGACCCTACTGTCTCCGCTACACAAGGTCCATGAGGTCACCTCCTGGGATGCTTTTCCAGCTGTCTTGAAGGAGTTCCCAAATATGCAGAGTACTCATTAGCCGCTTTTCCTTCACTCTCTGGTTATACTCGCTCGTGGGAGTTTTACTTACGCAAAAATGTTCTGATGGCAGAAGGAACAATAGTTGGTTCAGAGAGATAACCAATCAGATTGTAGGGGGAGGGTCCAAGCAACTAGAGGAGACAGGATCAAGACATCTGATTATTTAGTTTCATCTCCTCTAGTAGCTTGGACCCACACCCTCTATAATCTGATTGGTTATCTCCCAGAACCAGTCATTTTTCCTTCTGCCCCCAGGACATTTTTGTAAAACTCCCATGAGCATCAAACTCCTCGTAAAACATTTCTGCTGTGCTTGGCCAGTTCAGGTGATGTGACACGATCAGTCTTCTTTGTAGGCGACTTGGTGCGTCCAGACTTTTGATTGGTACTATATAAGGTTTAAAAAAACACCAAACAATATGACTTTAAGGTGATATAATTTTAGTACATAGTATACTATACATATGACAATTTTTGCATACAAAACAAACGACCAAATCACTCACCAGTCACTCGGAAACCAATCACGGTCGTACGTCAACAGCAACCCCGCACACCACACATATATATAGTTCCAGTGCTTGCACATACACACACACACACACACACACACACACATATTACATATATGTGTGTGTGTGTGTGTGTGTAAATAAACTGTGATGGAAATGTTTCATGTTGTGCTTTGCTTATTGAGCTTAAGCCTATATTGTCCCTGCATATAAATATTTAGCTTTATTAATATTGCAAGCTATATGAGTGACTTGTTAAAAGGTGGTAAAAGCTTTAGCTAAGTAAATAAAATAGATTTATTACAATAAATCATTCTAAGTATCATGAGTTATGTATTAGCGATGGTCTTTGTCTTCAAGCTCTGCTTATATTTACTTGAAAGCTGACTATTGCAGCGATGTCTGTCACTGGTCCCTGTGACCTATTTAAGCTGATGTCTGTGTTATGATGTGAGCTACACTTCATCATGAAACCATAAATAATATATCCAAGTAAAAGTCACCAAAAAATGGAAACATAATTTATTATCCACTTCTTACAGACCTCAGTCTGTTTTTTATTTAAATCACTTCAGGTACTTAAGCTTAACCAGTGTTCCCAGTTTCGTATGGCACTTTATCGCATGCATCAGTGGGACCCGGGATGGGCAGCACTGGCATACGTTGATACCCCATTGACATACACAGAGCTCTGGGGTTATGCTTTGATCAACACAGGGAATTGAACTGAATGCTGAGCTGTTCTCTCTCTCTCTCTCTCTCTCTCTCCCTCTGCAGGTCTGATGATTCCCGTCTTCTGCGTGGTGGAGCAGGTGGATGGTGCAGTGCCCTCAGACGGAGAGGGCCGCGAGGAGCATGCAGAGTTCGTCTTGGTGCGCAAGGACATCCTCTTCACCCAGCTGGTGGAGACGGCCCTGCTGGCCCTGGGCTACTCCCACAGCTCAGCAGCCCAGGCTCAGGGTAGGTCTGGCTGGAGGGGGGACGCTGCAATGCAGGGAATGCCTACATTGGGTAGGCTGCAGTGTAATAATAATAACAGCGCCCCCTAATGACTGTTCCAGATGCACCATGCCCATGAACAAAAGTAAAATCACTCATTTTAATTAAAAAAAACACTATTTAAATCACTAATTTGAGTAGAGCAACAGTATGTGAAACTCAGAACCACTACAAAGAGTAGGCTGCTGATCTAATAGTAAAGCATGACTTTGTCACAGAGAACCAGGAAATACATGAAAAAAACATCTAAAAGTGTCTGTTAAACTAATCAAAATGGGCTTGGGATGACATGGACGGAGAATGGAAGAAAGGAAGAAAGTCTTCTTTAGCATAAAAGATCAAAGGCCTGAATTAGGGTACTTCTTCTGAGACAGAATGAGTGCGGAGGTTGAGAGTAACTTTCGCTGTTTATTACTGGACGTGGGCACTGCATAGCGCTTGTGTGACGTCAGCCTGGAGTTTGCGAAAGATAATCAACATTTGTTTGCAGTTTGCAGTTTGCAGTTTGCCCTAAAATGTACCGTCCAATTAAGGCTGTATTGTCTTTTTTTAATTCACTCCTTTGAGCCATACCTTAGTGGTGAATAAGACTGAAATCACAAAATTACAGCTGTGAAACTAAGAGACAGATACAGTAGATTAACTACACGCTCTGTAATTGCTGTTTTTATGCACATCTTCAACTGTGAAGACAAAGAAGTTTCGTTTTGCACGAGCGGAGGAATTCATGCCGCTCAATGTGTGAGAGGCACGGAGGAGAAGGTAGCCGCGGTCGGGAATGGCTCTGTGAGGTCGGGAATGGCTCTGTGAGGTCGGGAATGGCTCTGTGAGGTCGGGAATGGCTCTGTGAGGTCGGGAATGGCTCTGTGAGGTCGGGAATGGCTCTGTGAGGCCGCTCCAGCAGGAAGCGTGAGCTCGCTCCTTGGCGCCCACCACTGCTCCTCGCTGCGTGATTAAGGTCATTAATGAGTCAGGGTATTTGGGGCGCCAGGTGTAAATTTGTGCCTAATTGAAAGGCAAACATGAAACCCACTGGGCCATAATTGTAATATGAATTGCACACCCATGCAGTACAGCTGTGTGCATCAGCATCAAGCACAATACAATCAGGAAGAGAAAATCCAAAACTGGCTGAGCAAATTAGCTTTTTGAAAAACAAATCACCAATACCAAATACAAAATTCATTTCCACTAGTTAAAAGGGTCAAATATAGCTTATATATTGAAGATATTACCTTTAAATTTCTCCATTTTCATTTAGATGTTTAGCTAGTTATGGGCAATATTCAATGACACGAATGGGCATTTAAATTAGTTAATTGGTAAAAAGAAAGAACACTTCAACAAAACAGTTATAGATGATTGTCTCACCGTTCTCTCATTTTAATGCGGAACATCAGGCTTAACACAGTGCAGGCAACACTGTATAATTAAAGGATGAGGTAAAGGACTGATACAGTAGATGGCGGCTGTGAATTGAAAAGGTAGGCGTCTGGTTTGAGGGTTACAGGAGGTCTGGCCTGCCCGCTCGGTAACAACCGTAAGGAGGCTGTCTAAACAGCGAAACAAAACCGGACATTAAGCAAAACATCACAGAATTTTTAAAAAAAGCATATAGAAGGGGAAAAGCAGAAATACCCAGCCAGTTAAAAAGTTCAGCCGAAGAAAAACAAGAGCGTGCAGCATGAGACAAAGAGGCACAAAGAGAATCAATGAGTTTGGTCCACATTCCTGTACTGTCCCGTAAACACACATATAAAACTGGCCGGCTACACCCTGCCCCCCCCCCCCACCCCCCCCGTTCCTCTCAAATGAATACTTTTTGTTTTTTAAAATAAGCGTTTATGTTAAATGAATAATTTCTGGCTTAAATTATACATTTTTCCTCTGCGGTTTACAACCAAAATTATACAGAGTCCCTGCTATTTTCTCCCTGTTTGAATTGTGTCCTGCATAACTCTGTCCCAGCCGTATTTTTAAACTCTTCCCAGAGTGCCATGGTCTTTCTTTAATTAACCCAGCCAGTAATTAACTGGGAGATATTGTTTATTTCAATTATAAGGGTTTGAAGGCTTTTAAAGCAGCGCATGGACAGATCTGTATTTTTAGGCTTCAGACAATTATTTGGAGTATGTCCAGACGAAAGCCTGAAAGTGTGTTTTGAATATACGACAATTAAGAATAAAGCTGTTTGCTTTACATTTAAGGGGAGTTTCATCCAAAACTGATAAATGCTTTTTATCTTCACATCCAAAGAAGGTAAAATTACATGCACCTTAAACATTTTGTTTCCCAAAACTTCCAAATATTTCTGTATTTATCACTAAGAGATATTCTCTATCGATCAGTTTAATCTTTCAAAATCAAATGTAGGCACGTTGGGAATTGTCTGTATTTTAACCCTGATTTTGACTTTTCTGAGCTGCATTAGTGATCGCCTTGATCAGTCTATCTGTGAAAGATTCCAATGCCATGATAGTTAATATAAAAGGCAGCATCTGTCTTTTTATTTTCTGGTTGCTAACCCCCACTTTCCCTTGAAAACTTGGTATTATGAAAACATATAAAATAATTCCAATAAATTCCATGAAGCTGGAATACCATGATTCACACAGGAAAGGAGAAGAATAGAATTATATTTTTTTTTCTTATGAAAACAAGAGAGACCCTATTTGGTGTAGATTTTCACTACAGTAACCCTGATACCCTTATAACTAGTCACAACCCACCAGTGATGCACATGTTTGTTTAAATTTTGCTCAAACATTAGCAACAAGGAATCCAATGATGACAGAGCAGGCTTACATGAAACATGTTTCTAATACTCTCTGTTTTATATAATGAATCTTGTGCTGTACAGCTTTTTTCCTTGCCTGGAAATTGATTCTGTGCTTGCCGCAGCTGATATTCTGCATCTGACCGCAGTGTCAGATACACTTCAGGTGCTATTACCAAGAATCCCTATGATAAAGCTTATAGCCACTCCTCTCATGAGAATTTAGAAATTGTGATTTTAAAAAAAGCATTGAATTCGAGATGGTTTTAATCATTATTGAAGAGTGGATTGTCAGTGACTATTTCTTGATGATATGCTGTGACATGCCCCTTTAACCGCTCTCTAAAAGCATTTTGATAAATATGCATTGTGCGATGGAGTATACTCATGTATAAGCGCAGAGGTGTGGCTACAATCACAGGCTTCAGGCGCACATGCATACTTGAAGGGCAGGGTGGGTTGGGAGCAGGGCGGCCAAATTTAGGCCGGTTACATGCGTGCGGGACTGTGCAGCAGCCCACTTTTTTTGGGATTGTGCGTGAGGATGGGAATTAATGGGCCACACTAAGCCACCATCTGACCGCATGAGAAAAAAAAAACATGGGAGAAAGCATTCTACTGGGGAAATAAAAATATAGCAACTGGTGTGGGCTGTTTAAAGTGCTGTTTAAATAACAATGAATCATTAATTAGAGGGAGCTGCAACACATCGGAAGGCGTGGCTTGGTCGGCTTATCACAGACTCTCAGAGACACATTTAACTGACTGCAGGTCAGAATCAGAATCAGAATCGAGTTTATTGCCAAGTACGTTCACACAAACAAGGAATTTGCTTTGGTGGTTGGTGCCAGACTTCGAGAGATGAAGTGGTTAATATATAAATATATATACATGGTATTTCATGGTAGGTCATGGTACTTCTAGCATTTGAAGGCGAAAGTAGGGCAGGTACAGGTGGAGTGCTAGAGCAATGGCCTGATCAGTGGAAGAGCAGAGCTGTCCTACACAGACCCTAAGGCCCTTGGCAGGTTGGCCTTCGGGGGGCGAGCATTTCCATTACTCAAGGAGACGATGAGAAAAGCAGGCTTGATGCAGGGCATCAAAGCTCAGCGTGCACTGTAAACACTCTACGGGGGGCGGGGAAACAGGCATACGCAAATTGTGTTCATCTGTCCACTTAGCTTCCCTTCTGCGATTCACTACCAGGGGAATATGTCTCTGCAAAGTCACTTAGAATAATCCAGCGAAAACACGGAATGACGGGGCCCGTGACCCCGGGCCTGCCGCTGATGCAGCGCACCATGGCTCTGTCATTTGCAATTTTCTCGCTCTCCTTGTGAAGGTAAGTAATACAGATCTGAAATTGGCTTGCTTTATATTCTACAGAAACAGTCCAGAAAATCATCCTAGTCTCCATAGAGGCAAACAGTTAACGATACTGGAGGAATTGGGGAAACCCCCACTGGGTGCTTGGGCTGGTCACTGGAGACACTGTCGTCGTTGCAGACTCCCCTGGTGTTCTTTGCATGCTGGTACGGCAGCCAAAGGTCAGGTTCTGGACGGCACCCACCAGTGACTTGCTGCTGTCCGGCTGCCAGTGTGATTCTGCTGCTCTGCAGGCACAAACCCCAGACAAGCGTCCAGAGCCCCAGCGCTGCGAGCTCCCTGTGGAGGCAGGGGATCAGCCCCATCCCGGCTGTGTTTGATTTAGCAGACGGTAATGCGATTAGCATTGTTTAGCTTCACAGTTCCAGCCACAGTCTTGGGGAAGGCAGGGAATGCAGTGGAGTACACATGCGAGGATGCTTGTCAGATACGTCGTTTGTTCTGCGGGTGGAGGATGCCAGCCTGACGATCTGAAGGGACCAATGTACTTACAGTTTATATCACAGTAAGGATAGCAGACTGAAATATAGATCAAGGGTCCATTATCAAGACTGTCCACTTGGTCAGTATTTCCCTTTCCGGTCATCGGGGACCCACAGACAGTCCATGTTTTTGCTCCCTTCCAGCTCCAAGGAGCAAAAATGTGTACTGTGTGGCAGGGAGCTCGGAGGGAGCAAAAACGTGGACTGTCTGTGGGTCCCCGAGGACCGGATTGGGAAACACAGCACTAGGTCTTGAAGGTGTTCTAGTCCAGTGGCCTCCAGTGCCTGGTGTTGTGCTCCCATGGTGGCATGAATTGTGGGTTTGCTGACTTGCTTAGTCAGTAGCATTTCCTGCAGACCCCATTCCGTCGATTCCTACCGGTTCCTCAATGACCACAATATAGGAAGTGGTCTTGCTATACCAACACGCCCTGGAGACCTACTGAGAATGTGGACAACACTGGTCATTTACATGCCCTGACAGCAGGAGAACTCAGAATAGAGGGCTGTGGGATCCATTTCCTGTGGGCCCAACCCATAGAAGCACGTTGTGGCAAAAAAACAGTGGCGATTTCTGTGAAAACAACTTGGCATATTAGAATAAAGTCTCCTCCTTTTAGCATTAGATAGCCTTACAGTAGTGAAGCTCAATATGCCGGTAACAATGGAAGGCCGTTTCCCATTTTAAGTAGACGATTTATAGAGGTCGCTTTGAGTAAAATTGCAAATGATTAGAAATATGGTAAATTATGGGCTATAACTGACTTCTATGTAAATAATATGCATGATATATTTTCCCATTGCATGGTTATATCTAAAGTATACTGTGTCCTATACTTTTATACACCTGAAAAAAATATTACAGTTAGGCAGCTTAAACACTTCAGTCAAGAGCAGAGCAGCAGCACCTCCCTGGGACATCAATCCTGCTCCTGTTTCACCCACAACCACCTGCACCAAAAGGGCATCTGTGATTTTTAGCATGTGACTCTCCCCTGACATGCTGAGTGAAGGTGTTGCTGATCAGCCTGTTGCTGATTCAATCTCTCATGTGGAGACACTTGATGCAGGCTGACCACAAACTATGTTCTATCCTCCTGACATCTAGGGGAAAAAAGTTTTTTAATGTTGATTATTTTTATTACCTCAATTAAATGTTGGCAAGGTCACACCCCACACATGTGATGTCATCCTACAGCCCTAACTGTCTTCATTTACAGAAAGACAAGACCTAATATAGGGCATGCACAGTATATGAGGTATGAACAGAAACATAATTTCCTCTTCAGATTGCCTGGTCTGAGGGAGCGATATGTACAGGACCACAAATACTAAAGCAGCGCTCCTGATTTGCATTATGAAGGTGATGCTTGTGGTTGGGAGAAATTCATGGTTTCCAGTTTATTCAGGACAACTTAAGCTGATCGTATCATGAGCGCAGGATGGATGAAGGAGGCTGTAGTAATGAGGTCATAGGTTGAGCTCATTCAGGACTGATGAGGTCACATCCTATGCGTATGTATGTGTGTGTGTGTGTGTGGATTAGGTTTATATTACATTGTGGGGGACCAAGGTTATGTGGGGATGGTGTGACGTTTTTCAGGTCCCCACAAAGATCTGTGAATGCAATCAAAAAACGTAAAATGCCAAAAGTCTCATATTTTGTTTGGTTACTTACGGTTAAGGTTAAGACTGGGTTGGGGTTACGGTCGTCATGTTGGGATTAGGGTTTTGCTCATAGAGATGAACAGTCCACACAAAAATATGAATACGAATGTGCGTTTGTGTCTGTGTCTCTCTCTCTATCAGGAATCATCAAAGTTGGCCGATGGAACCCGCTTCCTATTCACTACCTGACCGACGCCCCCGAGGCCACAGTGGCGGACATGCTGCTGGACGTCTACCACATGGTTACCCTCCGGATCCAGCTGCAGAGGTCAGCCATCCGAAGCGGGCCGGCAGGGGCTGCTGTGGGGGGGGGCGCGTGGGTTCTGGGGGAACGGAGGCACCGTTAAGAGTGTGGATTGGATTCAGCTGGATGCGGAAAATTACCACCACTCAACATATCCTTCAACCACTTTCCCCAAGAAGTGGTTTTCGCTTCCAGTTGATTTACAAAACGCCTATTCCGTGTTGTGTCGCTTGACACAATGTAATGCCCAATTAACTCATTTGGAGTCGGCCGCAGCGCCGGGCCGGACCGGCTGCCGACGTTCCCGGTCGGGTCCCGCATCCAGTGGGCAGCAAATGAAGGTTTTCATGCTTGCAGCTTTGCCAAGCTGGAGGACCTGCCCTGGGAGCAGTGGAACCACGCCACCGTGCGCAACGCCCTCAAGGAGCTGCTCAAGGAGATGAACCAAAACATGCTGGCCAAGGAGTGCCCACTCTCCCAGGTACAGCCTGTCCCACCCCTCCCTCAGTCTTCACTTCCCTTTACGCAGTCCCCTCCATATCTACAGATACATAAGCTGGCTCCCTTTTCAGGGGCTGCAGCATGACAAGGCTGTCCCATTTCGAAGGCTCCTTCAAATGCGGCCTAAAAATGCATCCTTCTTTTCCTGAGCCGGGAAGGATCCATCCCATTGATCCTTTGCAGCCTAACCTAACCCAATATTCATCATGTGGATTTTTAGAAGGACGTGGCTTACAAAGGCTATGCTGACCGCATTCCTCAAAGCATGCAGCCCCCGAATTGGGACACTGCTATAGTGTGCAGGATATAGGGGTATCATCTGTTAATAATGGTTAAGAGCAGGGACACAACCCCCCCTGGAGAAGCCCCTGCTGTCGCACTCTTGCGCAATGTATCCTGGATTGATTAGGTGATACACATGGCTGTTATAATAGGTCAAAAACTGTAAACCGGCCTGCATGCACACGCTGAAGCGAATAGGCATTCCGTACCGTCAAGCCAGCGACCTCGATAGTGAACCTATTGATTACCATTTTCCACTGTGAATTTTATATTAGGAAATCAGAGGAAAGTGTAACAGGCGCCAGGCTAATGCATTTGCCCACATGCAAAGTGAGCAGTGCTGGTGCTGTGAGTGAGTGACTTATGCCACACCATATGGGAAGTGTGCCTTACGATGCCTCTGAGGTTAATATATTACCAGCCTGCTGAAGGGGAGGCCAAAACATCTCAGCATTCCTCACCACAGGGGCACTAACACAGGGGTGCGCATAAGGGCCGCGCTGCGTCTCTCTCACACACACACACACACACACACACACACAAAGCGCACACGACAGTCACAGACACTACACAAAACACATTCTGCAAATATTCAAACATACATCCTCCACATATATAATTACCATAAAGTTAAGGCCTGAACAACCAACATGATAATGAACTCAGACTGAAGCAAATGGGGGGAAATGAGGCCCAGTGGCAAATGCCTCCCTTTTCTCTGCAGTCAGTGACACGTTCCTGAAGGAGCCACCCTCATGTTTGTGTCATGTGTTTGTTTTCTAGCTTTTCACACTTTCACTTTTCTGCTTGATGCCATTGTACGGGTACTATTTCATACATTCTACATGTTCTTGCACCGTATGCAGTTTAAGCTGAATGATCGTTACATCATCAGCATGCGTATGCGTGTGGTTTTGTGTGCTGTGCCCTAACCCTAACCCTAAACCTAAACCTAACCCTAACCCCCTCACAGGCCTCTCACACCCTGTTTCTGCTTTTTCCCTCAGAGCATGATCTCCTCCCTAGTAAACAGCTCATACTATGCCAACGTCTCCAGCACCAAGTGTCAAGAGTTTGGTCGCTGGTACAAGAAGTACAAGAAGATTAAAGGTGAGCCAGAGAGCTGCAGAGTGCAGCTGCGATTCAGCGTCTTGCCGGCACGCAGAAAGCCATCGACGGCTATTGACAGTGACCGACGGCGTGAATCGTGGCCAGACGGCTTTGCTCCTGATTTTAACTGCTAAGCCATCCAAGTGCCTGCGAGGGCCGCTAATGCGCGATAATGAGGGAGAGTGATTCCATCTCCTGAATTAACCCCTCAGTGGTGTTAAGAACTTGGGGATATCTGGGATGACAGACAGGCCTCCACAATGCATGGCTCACATTATCTCCTAATGTCTCCCTTAATATAGCAGAGGGATATAAACACTCCTTTGTCCAAATCAAAACCAGTGCTTCTTCCACTCTAAACTCAGGGGTCTTCTTACAAATCCCCATATATAGTCTGCCCCCTCTTCTGGTTTTTTAGCCTTTTAACTTCAAAATGGACCCTTTTTTCCCTTGGTCCCCCCAAAACAGCATAAATATGCCTCACGGCAGATCAAAGTTGACACCAAACCCCAAACAGAGAAAAAAAAAAGTCAAGTTAGACAGAGTAAAAAAAATCCTGGTGACGTGCTGACAGAATGAATCGCGTCGGGTTACACAGCCGCTAGTGTTAGTTCTGGTCTATGCTTCTCTGTAAAAAACAACCGCTGTCAGCCTCCAGATGTGAGCCCCGCGGAGGGCGGGAGGACACAGGCAGTCTACCAAGCACATTGGCTCTCCCACCTGTCAGTCTTAGTGCTGTAATGATTTCCCCATCATCCACCTGAAAGGGAACAATCTTCTCGCACCACACTCTCAAATCCAATGTCTTCATTTAAGACTAACTAAGGATTTAAGCTTCCTGCCACTTTTTAGATGATCTTAATGAGAGTGTAATATAATTTTTTGGCAGTTTGGTGAGTGACTTCAGTGTTTGTGTGACCTGCACTCCATGGGGTTGATGATCACTCTGTACCTTCCCGATATTCCTGCAGGGGAATACTTGGATAAGATGTGGCCAAGTCGGGAAAACTTGGAAATCAAAGGTGGGTTACCTGGTCTGAATATGGCTGATGATTTCTGTATGCCTACATTTTGTGTTTTCTTTTGGGATAATGGTGATGACCATGACTTAGAGCAGGGTTCTTCAAATCTGGACCTCGATTCCAAATCCAGGCCTTGTTTTCAGTTCTCCCAGGTACCTAGTTTAATAATTACTGATTCTGATTGGTCGGAGGCTTCACACCTGACTGACAGGTAAAGGAAGGCTGGAAAACCAGCAGTGCTCGGACCTCGAGGACCGTGATTTGAATAAGCCTGACTTAGAGATTGATAGTCATTTAGTGGTGTACAGTATTGTTCACAAACAGGCTTTTTTACACCTCTGCGTCATGTGACTCTATAGTTCGTTCACTGTCATGTCGTCTGTCGCCTCCGTGCCCACAGTGGAGAGAGACAGCCTGGCCGACTTCTGTGTCCTTGGGCAGCGCCCCCCCCCCCACCTGGCTGGCCTGTCCCAGCTGGGCTCCCTGGGGGGCAGTGGCTCCCTGGTGAAGACTGGATCGGGTGATCCCCAGCCCCCTACCCAGCAGCCCCAGCAGCCCCCATCCCAGCAGCCCCAGCAGCCGTCGGCCCACGGCCAGCTCCACCACAGCCCTCCCTTGCACGGCCAGGTGCCCCCGCCAGCCGCACTGCAGCCGCTGCTCACCCCCGGGGGGCTGCTGTCCCCCCAACTCAGCCCTCAGCTGGTGCGCCAGCAGCTGGCCATGGCGCATCTCATCAATCAGCAGCTGGCCGTCAGCCGGCTCCTCGCCCACCAGCACCCACAAGCCCTCAACCAGCAGTTCCTCAACCACCCGCCCATCCCACGGCCCGGAAAGCCCGGCGAGCCCGGGGGAAACCCCTCCTCCGTGGAGGTCTCACCCGACATCTACCAGCAGGTCCGCGAAGAGCTGAAGAGGGCCAGCGTCTCACAGGCCGTGTTTGCGCGCGTGGCCTTCAACCGGACACAGGTACCCATCAGACGTCCCACTCGCCGCCGTTATCCTCTCCCTGGGACCTGATGTGACACTGTGTCAGTGATCAGAGAGCTCAGCAGTATCATTATTATTATTATCATTATTATTATTATTATCATTATTATTATTATTATTATTATCATTATTATTATTATTATCATTATTATTAGATCTGGGGCCTGTACTACGAAGCGGGGTTACTGGCTTATCGGGGTAACTTGTCAGATTTAAGATTGTCTGGGCAATCTTAAGTGTAAGTGAATAAATATGAAGTCTATTTAAACTGTGGTACCTTAAATCCGACAAGTTACCCGGATAAGCCAGTAACCCGCTTCGCAGTACAGGCCTTTGTTCCAGCAGACTGGCTAAAGTCACACATGCGTTTCTTTGCTATAGTTTTCTTGCTGCCTTTGCTTTTCTCCACTGTGAACAGCAGCGGATTCACAGCCAGCTATACTGCCAATGGACTAAGTTTATAGGCAATCAATAAATTGATTGCTTGCTATAAGAGCTGTTATGATGTTGTTTTGATCAGTTGGTTTTTATCAATGAGAAAGTTTAAGAAAAAAGTTTTTTCAGTGGGGTGCATGTTACACAGTCACACTGAGCATAAGTCACCTGTTTACCTACTAGAATGCACACATTACTTGGGCAGTGACCCAAGGACACACACGTCTACTATGTTGTTATTATGAAGCTGCTGTTTCAGTGAATATGATGCTTGCAGTGTAATTTTCTTAAGTTTCACTGTTGGCTTCTTGCTCCGTCTCTGGTATGAAAGCATGTGACCCATCATTACATACTTAACGTACTTCGTAGTTGGGCTCGGTCTGTATGTGTGCTGGGTGACACTGCCGGAGCTGGGCTTTGTTACAGTGAGCAACTCTGCACGTTCGGTGGCCGCTCTGTCCGCTCACGTCCGCCCTCCCCCCGCCCCGTAGGGCCTGCTGTCGGAGATCCTGCGCAAAGAGGAGGACCCACGTTCCGCATCGCAGTCTCTACTGGTCAACCTGAAGGCCATGCAGAACTTCCTGAACCTGCCCGAGGGGGAGCGCGATCGCATTTACCAGGAGGAGCGTGAGCGTAGCATGAATCCGCCCGTGGGCCTGCCGTCCACCCCTGTCTCCTGCACGGGAGGGGCTCGCTTGGCACAGGTACTCACATACCAAAACACGAGCCCCCCCACGACACAGCCTGCTTATTAGATTAGCTCTGAATGTTTGCTTTCCTCTTTTTTTTCTAGACACTGTTTGATGTTGCATCAGGTTTTATCTGTGAGATTTATCAATTGTGCACATTTTCTCCTTTGTTTGGATGTTTGTTTACAGTTACGTTTTGCAAGATTTGTTTGCACTGCTTTCTGTTCATTTTCTGCATCAGACTGTTTCCAAGTCTACTGTTTCATTCTGTGCATAATCCTTGTCTGTGTTTCTCTTTTTTAAAATTTTTTATGTCACTACATGTTGCCAAAGAGCACGTGAGCCTTTTGTGTCTGGTCAGGGATGGTGTCTTTGTTGATAGGCCGGCATGCGCTCCAGTGTGTGACCATGTCTGTGTGACATTCTGTGTGACATTCAAGGCCAGCAGTCTGTATGTGACAAACAACTAATGTTTTTCCAAGCTGTCCAAATGCTTTAATAATGACGCAATAATATGAACACTGAGTATAAATACGAAATGGGGAGTTACCGTTTGATTTTTTTTTGTTTAGAGAATGATAAACATCTAAAAAGAGTTTATAGGACAAAGGAAATTGGAAAAATTTCCAAAAACTGAATACATTTGGAGACTTTGCTACCCAGCTGAGATTTTGTGTGAAAAAAAAACAGAGAGGAACTACTGAAGCACCAGCAACTATTTGGGAAAAAACAGCCCGAGATGTTTGCTGCATCGTGCAATAAGAGGCAGCAGAGGTGGGCAGGTTGCGGCTCTGTGGAGCGACACTGTGTTTGGGATCAGGTCACTCATTCAGATCCCATGGCTGACAGAGTGATGTCACCAGTGGGACCTCGGTCAAGGCCCTTAACCCCCGAATTCTCCATGGACATTGGCAGACCCTGATCCCACGTCATTGCGTTGGACATAAATGTCTGCTAAATCAATAAAGGCTAGAAGGGCAATGACCTATTTGTTTACAACATGGCTGGAACAGACAGTAGTTAATCTGTAGTTTCACATATTGTTTGGGATTCTCATAATATTACTGTTTTAAGAGCATATGTGATCAAAACCGTCTAACTCACCTTTCAGAAGTTTACAAATATCTAACCAAATACTGCATTTTAATTATAAATTAGTCTGTTTCCAAATTATGATTAGCATTTCAAAAAGGAAAAAAGGCTGTTTTTTTTAACACTACACAAAGAGTTGTGCGTTTTTTAAAACTGGTATTTTTCCTGTTGTCAATCACATACACAAATCGGTGTTAAAATTGTGTATTATAGTGCAGAAAAATAAAATGGTTACTTAGCTTGTTTTTTCTTTAACACAATAATAAAAAGATGTTGGAAAATGGTTCTTACCTTCCTTAAAGGTCTACTTTTGGTGTTGCCCTCCTTAATTTACTCGGTGTTACAAAACGCAGAATTGTGTGAGGACTTTATTGTGGAAAACGTGCTAGGATTTTATTGTGATCTGTGATCTAGGGTTATTTACCGTTGCTGTGAGGTATGTGCAGAATTTGTGGTTTTTAATTTCAGAGTGTCTTAGGGTCTTCACTCCTAAGGTCTGTCTTTGAATGTCCCACAGCCAAAGGTTCTGGTTCCCAGTCCCGACTTACCATTGAAGATGGACTGCCACATAAACATCACGTCATCTATCTATGATGAGATCCAGCAGGAGATGAAGAGGGCAAAGGTCTCCCAGGCACTATTTGCCAAGGTGGCTGCCAACAAGAGCCAGGTATGTTCTGGAAGACTAACACAGACAGTGGCATGTCAGTGCCACAGCATCTCAGACAACCTGACCAGAGCTCATGTCATCATACAGTTCCAGTAAACATCTTGTAAATCATACTGCATGTTTCTCAAACCATTCAAAACAGTTGGTGCCCATGGACTGCTGCATTGATCCAGAGTAATAATTAATTAAATTCAGTAACTGAGAGTTTGAGAAACATAAACCAGAACTCTCTTAGACATTCTTACAGTAGCATGCACTGCAGATACTGAGCATTTGCTAATGAGAAAGCTTTTCTCTTAAAGCTTCTGATTCTGGCTTGTTAAATTTCCCTTGAGTGTGAGTTCCATTTGGAAACAAAGCCTCCCAAGCTTCCTATGGACATCACCATGCTATTCACCTTTAACCCAGCTGATCAGTGCCCCATTAGTGCAACAGAGTTTCAGGTGATTTAGGCTACAGTGATTTTGTGTCCTTCCACTGCAGTAATGCCTTTCTCGATAACACTAACAGAGATTTATGGCTTGGTTATTGATTTTTTTTTATATATTGTGAAAAAACTGCTGATTTATTTTAAAAAGGCAAGTTTATTCAATTAAGCTACATGGGATCAAAGTAATTAAAATGTGAAATATAAGTTTAGCCTAATTGTAGAGTGCTGTTCAAATAGAAATCCCATGTCTTAGTCATATGAATGTTTGAGATAATAATCAACAAACGAGAATTTGCTTAAGCTAAAATCCTCACCATATGAAAGTAAGTAGACTTGCTTGAGCCTGAGTGTGCTGAATTCTGCAGATTGCAGACTTGCTTGAGCCTGAGTGTACTGTATTCTGCAGATTGCAGACTTGCTTGAGCCTGAGTGTGCTGTATTCTGCAGATTGCAGACTTCCTTGAGCCTGAGTGTGCTGTATTCTGCAGATTGCATGCTAGCTTGAGCCTGAGTGTGCTGTATTCTGCAGATTGCAGGCTAGCTTGAGCCTGAGTGTGCTGTATTCTGCAGATTGCAGACTTCCTTGAGCCTTGGACGGGATGCTGCCTCCCCATGACTTTTAGTGACAAAGTCACTATTAGTTGAATTGTAGTAAAAAAAAAACATGTTGGTTGCAAGATGACAGTCATGGAGAACAGATATTTTCCAATCGATGGCCATTACGACCTCGGTCTACCACCTGGAGCCTTCCGAGTCTTCTGGAGGTCCATCCATGCCCATCCTT